ATCTACTGTAGAATTTACTGTAGTTGTCATGAGTTGACGGGGGTACAATTGTCAATATTGCACATAAGCATATATGTATAGGTTTGAAATTCGAAGACTATTTGATAACCAGAAATAATTGTTAAACTTGCAATCTTCAGAGACATTTGAGCGCGAATTCCAGAAATAACTACAGTAGTTTCTCCCGGAAATGCCAAATTTCGGGTTGCTATGAATTTCCCGCGCTAGTTCTAAGTGCGTATTAGGAAGAATTTACTGTAGATGTCATGAGTTGATGGGGGTACAATTGTCAATATTGCACATAAGCACATATGTATAGGTTTGAGATTCAAAGACTATTTGATAACCAGAAATAATTGTTAAACTTGCAATCCCCAGAGACACTTGAGCGCGAATTCCAGAAATAATTACAGTAGTTTCTCCCGGAAATAATATGCCAAATTTCGGTTTACTCCGCGCTAGTCCTGCGCCTATGTAATTTATTGCTACGTCGATGCCAAGGGTCGACGGAGTTCCTGTAAGTGAGTCAGGTAAAACCCACAAGCCTTCGAATCGTGTCTTGTGGTCTCCGAATTGCTTTCGAATTGTGTCATGTAGCCTCTGAATTGCAAAAAATTTAAAATGAAAAAGTTAAGTCATCGTTTTTATTCTAACATTACTATGTATTCACATTAATATATACACCGGCATGCTGGCCGCTGCCTTTTTTTGCCAACTGGCGACTGCCATATCGCGACTTAGTATTCTCAAATCTGCCGGTTTCAATTCCGATCTCCGAATATTTCTGGGTTAAATTACTGTATTAAGTTTGCAGGACTGCTTGCACCTAATAAATAATTATATTTATAATAAATAATTATTGAGTTCGCAGGACTATTCAAAGCCCGCAAAAGTAATTATTGAGCCCGTAGGATTACATGAATTCTTGAAAAATAATTATTAGGCTCGTAGGATTGTACGAACCCTTGAAAAATAATTATTAGGCCCGTAGGACTACTTCCACTCCAGAAATAATTATTGAGATCGCAGGACTGTTCGAACCCCGCAGAAATAATTACCGAGCCCGACTATTTGGACTGTCAGAAATAATTATCGAATCCGACGGACTATTTGGATCGTCGGAAATAATTATTCAACCCAACGGACTATTTGGACCGACAGAAATATTTATCGAGCCCGGCGGAAAATTTGGACCGACAGAAATAATTATTCGTCCCGACTACATGGATCGTCAGAAATAACAATCGAGCCCCGCAGGTCTATTTGAATTCCCAGAAATAATGATCGATCTCGCAGGCCTATTCGAACTTCCAGAAATATTTATCGAGCCCGCAGATCTATTCGAAACCCCGCAAATACTTGAGTTCGTAGATCTATTTTCATCACCAGAAATAATTTCGCTCGCAGGATTATTTGAACTGCCAGAAATATCTGACAATTTACCCCTCCCCCCCTCCCTTAAAATAATGATTAAACCCGAAGACCTATTCGAAGCCCCAGAAACAGTGCTTTAGCTCGACAGGACATCTCGCAGGATATGTCTCGGCCAGGCCTTTCGAACAGTAGAATGGGCTCGAATTGCGCGACGTCAGGCAGCAATTTGCTAATGGAATGTAAACGGTGATTGCAGGTTGTCCAGGCGGCGCCACTTCCCGTGCCTGTGCAGGTGCGCAGCAAGAACGATGGCTCGGGGGTGGTGGCGGCGTCGGTGTCGGGCGTTCGCAGACGAAGCGGCTCGCAGGGTTTGCGATCGCCGGCCGCGAAGAGGCCACTCTCAGCCCCGGTCGCCCTTCAGGGCTGGCTACACAAACAGGGCTCCGAGGGTCTCATGCTCTGGAAGAAACGGTGGTTCGTCCTCTCCGAGTACTGCCTCTTTTATTACAAAGGTCAGACTTACTTTCTTTTTCTCTCTTTCTTTCTCTCTCTCTCTCTCTCTCTCTCTCTCTCTCTCTCCCCCGTTTTCTTTATTCCGACGGAATTACATGTCGTCTCCCTCCGCACCTCCTTCACCCTCTGCTCCGTTTCGCCTGTTCCCGCGACAAAAGCGGAACGAGGAGTGACAAAGAAAAGAAAATGCACTCCTATCTCCGGTTTCTTCACGTTCTCGTTTTTCCCTTCGCGCATTCTTGGCACAACACCCCGACACTCCTGACTCGTAATTCCGACGGCTGTTCGTTCGATGTACGAAGAATTTCGGTCCCTTTTTTCGATGGGACGTTTCGAGACTGCTTTCGATTAACAGGGATCGATCGGATCTAACTAGCGCGAATTTGACATTTTCAAACATTCTCGAAGAGAACAGTTGATTTTCCTTGTTTTTGAGCCGTTGGAAAGAGAAATGGTGTGGATCAATGTAAGTCAAAGAAGTTAACTCGTGGACTATGAAGGATGAATGAAACATTCTGTAAAATACGATAACAGAAACAATTGTTGCAATAGTTTTATGTTAGCCACTTTCAAGCTTTAACAGAAAGTAATAAAAAAAGATCGAATGAAATATTAAATTAACATACGATTTGATAATATCGGATCAACTTAGCAAAGAATTTAGTTCTCCATTTTTACTTTACTACAACGCTAGATTTACGGAGCACAAAATACAGCTGATTTATATTAGTTTATAAAATTTAACAATCAGATATTTACTCTGATTTTTAACAAGTGTTATTGTAACATTCGCCGTGAGTAACATATAAACTGAACAAATAACTCATAAATGTATCTTTACGATATGAAGAATCGTAAATTAGAAAAAAACCCATCATTTTGACGGGTTCCGTAAATCTAGTATTAAACGACTCGTTCATGCATTCATTGTCGATTAAATGTCTTAATTCTTTCACGATAGAACGATAGCATCAGTGTTGCAAATATTTGTATAGGGCCCTTTTCGAGGTACAACATAGCACTTCATTTCATTCACACGAGCTCGACGGGAGACAACCAGTTTTTCATATAATCGGGTGTCTACGTTCATCTTAACAGCCATCTTAAGTAAAAGAGCGGGACTCGCCGCACACTATGACAACCCACACAGAAAAGAAAAGCCATATACGTATATTAGTTTTGGAGGTTTACATCCACTAAAACTGACGCTTTAATATCGAAGTGTGCAGTTCTCACAAGTGGAAAACTTAGATTCCGAAAAGACTAAACTTCTGGGCTTCGGTTGTAGAAATATCCGTTTTGCAGTTATTGCGGAGATATTTGCAATATTCGGCCAGAGTGGTGTCAATGTCACGAGCATGACGTCAGAACAGTCACAACAGTCTGCACAGAGGAACGATTAGGGAAGATTATGCAAAACAAAAATTTCACGCACCTGTTGCAAGAAACAGGAGCTGCGTAAACGTTGATTTCCGTTTTGAATAAATTTCACGAGTTGTAAACAACGTGATCAAATTACAGAATTTTTGTAATAGTATCAGTGTTTATTTTCATTCAGTCATATTTGTCGTAAATGCATAAATTCCGCAGTCTACCGATAAATAAATATCCGCAAGAAGCAGTTGTAAATTTCCATAGATAACAATAAGTACGCGTGGCAAAAGGGATGCTAAACCGCCGGGAACAGTACCGGAGAAAATATGGCGGATCTCTTAATCGTCCATGGTAACCATCAGCGGAATGCGTATTCCGATAAGAGGATTGCGATGGAATTAACAATTTTTCATTCTGGAGGAGCCGGTCTCGCGGGTACGGGAAGACTTTTGGCACGGCTTCAACCCTCATCTCGCTGCACAGCCGTTGCTTTCCAGCGTTTTACGCTCGACCAATTTCCGTCCCGGCCTCCTACCACCTTATCCCCTCCCTCCTGCAACGGCACGTCCTTAAATCTTTTCCGGCAGATCGTTTCCAAGGAACACTAATTGCGCGAGTTCCTCCGATTGCGTACTTACGTCGAGCGCGTCATCTGATCTCCCTCTTTCTCGCTCTTCTCTCTCTCCCGAGAACCTTGATTTTCCTCAATCTTCCCGCCACGTGAGTTATTCCCCCTTACGACCAAATTTATTTAACACCGCTCCGGAAACAGACGCCTAAACCCGGTGAAGAATGTTGCCCCGACGGGGCTGGATACCGCCGGCGGTTGGAAAAAATAGAATTTGCTTTTTTAATCAATTTCGCCAGAGTTCCCGGTGCACAGCCTGCACCTCGAATATTTCGAATATTGTACAGGACTTGAGTAGATTTTTTGGAATTTTCGACAACGAGATCTTCGAAATGAAATGCGAAATTCGTCGAACTTCTCTGGCACCAACGGTGCCTTTCCACTTTAGATTGCTGTTATTTCTATAGTAATTAATATTTTTGAAAATCCTCGAGCTGTGTGTCGAACGACAAATTGTTATCTGCAAATCGATAAAAATTGTGCAATGTTAAAATCCCAGTTGCTTGCAACGATGACGCTTAGCAATCGATGCCGTAAGAAATAAGGTGACGAAACCGGCACAGTTTTTTGAATGATTCCGCTATTTTGTAACATTTAAACCTCGGATAAATTTGCCTTCGTAGCCGAAAGTCGTATTAACACGTTCCGTGCCGAGCTTTTTTTACTCGAATCTTCACACTTTGATATTTTACTAAAACTTGATGTATTATTAATTCTTAATAACTTCTTGATGTATAATAATAATTCTTAATAATTAATTCTTAATTAATAACGTGCAATATATTATTAATTCTCGTACACATAACAACGTAACAAAAACTTATCAACGCCCATTCTTGCGGTGGAAATTGATTCTTCGGTTCTAAATTTCTTGTAAACAATTTGTTCAGTTCACTAAGTAAACATGCAAGCGTGTACCATCGATGGTATACGTGGCACGGAACGTGTTAATCGATAAGGTTGGAATTTCTCGTAAAAAAATCGCACTGGAAGAAATGCACGATCTGCATCTGTTCGCAGTCACCTCAGGATGGTTCGTTCACCTCTCGTGGAAGAATTAGAAAATAAAATAGTGTAGCGAATTCGGAACAGAGTACTTCTAAGCGTGATCACCGGATAATGCTGTTTCTCTTGCTATCGCGTTGCTTTTTTCCCCGGACAGTTTGTCGTCGCTCGCAGCTAGAGTCTGCCAGCGCAAGTAGTATCGGACAGTAATTGGCCGGACGGTGGCGGTGGCCAATTAACGACGCGCCACTGCCACCACTGCGTTTGTTCCCTGTCACCGTGTTATCACCAAATTGCTATCTGACAATAGAGAAATTAACATGCAATAGACGGAATTGTATACCGCATAGCCGGGACGTACCGGGTGGCTAACCAAACGCAATCCGCATAATCATGCCTCGCTTGTTTCGCAGAACGATCTTCTTCGCCGTGTTCTGCGCATCGATTTCTATTCATGGGTAATTTTGCGATTCCATTATCTGAATGGCGATATTTAAGCTGATTAACACTGGAGCTACGAAATCCTTAATATGACTGACGCAGTTAGTCAGTTGGCCACAAAAGTGTTCGTACACCTTTTAAATAATAAGTAAACTAAATAATAAATAATAATAAGTAATAATAAATAATAATAAATAATAAACTTTTACAAAACTAAACCAAATGATTTGAATTTTTTTAGGTGATAGAGGACCAGTCTACTAGACGATAACTAAAAAGCTTTCTTTTTTAATTTTGCTGTTACTTGGAGTAAAAAGAAAAAAATTAAAAACCCTCGTTTTTTCATTCTTTTATCCGAGCCTGTAACAAAAATTTAAAAAATGCCTTCTTAGAGCCTTAGAGCCTTCTCGAGCTACAGGTGTCGAAGGATTTAAAAAACTGCAGATTTCTTACAGTTTTTAGTCAAAATCGTGATGAAACTCATAACAACGTGAATCGATTTCGATAAAATTTTCAATATGCATATAAGTCTATGAAAGACACTTTTAAAATTTTCGTTATAGGCTCAGATGAAAAAGTTGTAAAACGAGAGATCTTTATTTTTTTGTCATTCCAAGTTTATAGTAAAATTAAAAGAATCAGCATTTCAGCTATCGTCTAGTACACTAGTCCCTCTATCATCAAAAAAATAATTCAAGTCATTTAGTTCAGTTTTAAAATAGTTATTGCATTTTAAAAGGTATACGAACACTTTTGTGGGCCACTGTATATCATAATAGTAACAAAATTGGTTTTATTTAAACTTCGAACAATTTCTATTATAATATATGCTTGTATAAAAAAGTTTATTGAAAGAAAATATCAGAAACCAGTTATTTTGATCGATTTAGCAGTTCTAGTCTAAACGCTGATATTAACCCTTTGAACTAGAAGCTGTTTTAATCTGAAATCCGGAAATTCTGACCTATAGTATATCTATTTTACACGATTTATAGCAACTTATGGGTGCTACAATAACTGTATTTTTAATAGTTTTTTTAAAAATATAACTGTCAAAATTATACAGGAACGTAGTATAGTAATCTTAAACACTTTGACTGTCGCGTTATTGCTATGTGGGTGACAGAATTATTTGCCTAGTTTTGAAAATTAATTTGTACGCTAACCTAATGCTTCATCCTACCTTCATTAGAATCCGCAAGACATAACGACGTTGTCGAAATTGTTGTCATTATACTACTTAATTTCTCAATTTTAATTTGACTAAATAAAAGATTGTCATTCTATGAAATTTTTTGGGTCAGAGTAGCCGCGCAAGTGCGAAGGGTTAATTGGTCCCTTTACGTAGATGACGAAAGGGTCGATCTTGTTTGTCGTTTGCGAAAGATTTTATTAGTTCAATTTTCCATCGTCCCGTCTTGCGACAGTGTTTTATTTTCCAAAAAAGAGCTCCATTTAAGTCTATCAAACTCGTTGAACTCTCGCGACTCGGTCTGTTCCATGCGATGAGATAAATTAGGTTTTGAGAACAGGCTGACAAAGGTTGAATAG